AAGAGAGAGAAAATGTTTCCTCCTTTAGATTTTAATGTGAATAACTGTTTGTAAAAGTCAGTGTTGGAATGCTGGAAGAAGTATGGTTCTTGCGAATGAGGGAAAGTAAAACTGGTGAACTGACCTTGGCTAACCATCAATAGCCAGTACTTGCTGAGTGCTTGCTATGTGCCAAGGACTACTCCAGCTGCTTGATATATTTAACTCCTATAATCTTTACAGTAACTCCCAGAGGCAGGTACTATTATTACGCCCATTTTACAGATGAAGAAACTGAGGCAGAGTTAGGTTAAGCAACTTGCCCACGGTCACATACCAAGCAAGCAGTGGACCCAGGATGCAATACCAATGGATGAGGACACCAACACGGAAGGAGAGTGGTTTGGGGCAGAGTGTGAGGCTGCAGGTGGGCCTCGGTTGAGGGAATGGCACCTGGGAAGACAGAGGTGACAACCTACATGCAGGTGAGAATGTTACGTTTACGAGACAGGGTGGGCGTATTGGGAAATGAGAGTAAAAATTAAATAAGGTGGGGCCACATTATGTAGTTGATGGAGAAAGTGTCTGTCCTTAACGTTTGTCTGTTTCTGACTTGTTTGGAACATTATTAAATACGGTTTGATGTTTAACCCTGTGATTTATATTTTGAAAAATGCAAAGAAGCCGAGCATCTAGGTAGATGCCCAACTGTTCAGACTCATCCTTCAGGGCAGGCTGAAGATAGGAGGAGGCTTGCCTTCCACACTGGGCTCCTGTGCAAATGAGAGTTCAGCCAGAGCAAGGCACTGGGGACTCAATCTTTCTGGCCAGCTTCTCTGGAACCAGAAGAGCCAGGGCAGGGGGAGGTGGGTCAGTGGATGGTTACAAGCCATCCTGCGATCTTAACTAGGGCTCAGTGGGTTTCTGGAAACAGGCAGCCCATTTCTGGCACACTAACAATTCTAGCCAGAACTTACTGGCAAATGTCTTTTTATTCCTGCTCTGTAGCTGGTCACAAAGGGTCTCAGGGATCTCTGGTCAGAGGGGTAATTTCAGGATGACGACAGAGATCCTGGACCTAAACCAGCTTACACTCAATGTGCTACATTCTAACTTACTTTGCTTGATGCTGGGGTCCTTTTAGAATTTCAACAGATTTTTTATTCTGTACGGATACCATAGTAGAAAGGCAAACTAAATGACAAAGATGCTGGAATTCAACAACTTTACAAAAGGATATGACATTTGCTTTATAAAAAGAAAACAAGTTGCTTTTTCCTCTTAAATGACAGAGAGTATATAAAATGTACTTCAAAATGGAATGCCCAGGAATTTCTCATTTATGTAACTCCTATTTAAGGAGTCAATATCTGTACCTGGAAGAGGAAAGACAACCCAATCATGCTCACCCAACATGAATGGTTCTCCATCTTGCCTGCTCATAGGAATCATCCGAGAGCTTGAAAAAAAAAACACTGCCACCTGGGTCCCATCCTCAGAGATTCTGATCTAATGTGTCTGGGTTGGGATTCGAACATGGGCATTTCCAAAGCCGCCTAAGTGATTCTAATGTGAGGTCATGGTTGAGAACTGCTACCCAAGATGCTGTGGGGGCTTCAGGGTAGCAAATGCCATTCACAATTTCAAAGAGAAGAATCTACTGTCTTCTATTTTTGCAGAGGTAGCATGTTCTGGGGAAGAAAAGATTGAACATGAAGTGAAGAGATGCAGGTTTTGACACTGGGTTTGTGGCTTAAGTTTTCTGGATCTAAATTTCCTTATTAGGAAAAGAATATCATTCGACTAGAAGACTTCTAAGCCTCCCTCCAACTTTGACATTCTCAGATTCCAGGTCTGTGGTTTGTAACTTTGTTAAAAAATACAGATGCCTTGGCCTCACCTGCAGACATGTTCATCTGACTGGTCTGCAGCGAGGCTGTACGTCAGTGTTTGCGAAAGCTCCCCAGGTGATTCTAATGTGCAGACAGAACTGAGCGTCACTGATCTCTGTTCTCTGTTGAGCCAAAGTCTTCAGACAGAAGTTGAGTTTGTACATGAGTGGGTGCATGTGTGCATACATGCGTGTGTGTGTGTGTGTGTGTGTGCATAGTGTGTACGTAAATACGCTTGGGGGTGCAACGCCAGCTGAGAGGGTGGTGGGAATTCACATTCAGCCTCGTATTAATTCAGTAACATGGAAGTAATGCAAACGCATATGTCCCTGCTGTCTTAATTAGTCCCTGCTGGTTGCTTTGTTCACGTGGTGAAGTGATGCCAACTGTCTGGGATCCTGGCCCATTTTAACTGTCTGTTAGCTTCACAGGAATGAAAACAACAGGTAAGATGGCCTGGAACAATAGTAACACCCAACATCCAATACTTGCACATGCTTTAGAGCTCATCTAGCGCTTTACATATATAATATCACTTCCTCCTCCAAAGACAGAGATCAAGTTTCTTCCTTGAGCTAGAAAACCCAAGACTCAGGAGAAATTAAGCTTTTTGTCCAAGAACACGCAACCGAAAGGTAGTGGATGTCAATATTCTAAGCCAAACCTTTGAACTTCACATTCTTCTTTCCTATTTACTCCACTTCCTGCAGCCACGTTGACCCCAAACCATCCATCGGTGACAAGGCACGGGGGTCTGGTGAGGGGAGGTGCACTGTTTCTTTGGGGAGGAGGAGTGAAGGGAATGGGGCTAATGGTCCTGATTTTTCCTCTGCACCACATAGAGGGTCAAACCAAAAAATGATGGTGCTGCCTTTGAAGGAAGGCCGTTCACTTTGGTTAGAGGAAGGGAAGCAGGGCACAAGCCATGTGTGAAACCCATGTCAAGGGAAGGAAACCCAAGCAGGTTAGCTCTAGTCTTAGCTGTCGCCTTGTTCCTGAACAATCTCATTACTCTGGACTTTTTTTCTTTTCTTCTAAAAGTCAGTGATATTGTAACTAAAAAGATAATCTTCAAAGTGGAGCCAGATAAAAGAGCAAAAGGCCAACATATAAAGATTTATAGAATACAGCTATGTCAGGTTAGACCTACAGATTTAATAACTGCCTTGAAGAGGCTCAAAATTTTCTCAGTTCTCAGATTCTAAAGCTATGGTTTGAGCGCCACCTATAGAAAGAAATCACCATTGGGAAGAGTCTAATTCTTTGCTCCATTAATTCAGGCACTCCTCAAAGAGATTGCTCTTTGAGAAGTTCTCATATATTTATGTGATAGAATCCAAATTCAGACTGATTAACATAGAAATAAAGCAGCAGAGGAAAATTCCAGGGAGCCAAATATTAAAGTATTTCATGGGGGCAAAGCGAGTTTAGAAAACTATTAATATAAAAAAGCAAAGTGAAGTTTTTAACATAGTTGGCATTCAGCACATGAGTGAAGAGCTTGTGCCAATAATCTAGTTTATCCTGCATTTGTCCTTGAGGACATATAGGAAAACTTCAGCGCAAGCCATATGGATAGGTTTGCAAAACTGTATACTGAAAGGTAGGCCATGTATCTTATTCTCAAAGGGTTATAAGTCTCGCCACTTAAAGGGCTGAAATAGTAAGATCACCAATGTGCATGAGATATATTTAACACTGAATATTTCCAACTCCTGAATAGAAGTAAAGTTAGTCTATTGAGGCTGGCTCATAAAAATCATTTTAGAGCTACAAAACAATTCTGAGAGTTTAATCATAATAATACTTAGAGCTTCCATAAGAAGGATTTGAAGACTTCAAATTGAAGTATAATGAATAGGTCTAAGCTTCTCCACTAAGCACTTGAAAACTGACTTACCAGAGTGCCATGAAGGCCTGGTTTTATCCCTTCCTTCAAGAGACCTCCCTCCTCACCTCTTTCCACTTCAAAGGGATTCCTGTGTATGAAAAGGCATGAGGAAATTCAGAGCATATGAGGGTCAGGTAGTTCATTATGAACATCTATTCAATACGCTAGATGCCGTATAAATGAGTATAATGAGTGAGGCCATTTTCATAATAACGGGGCTATTTATTTCCTGTGTCTGATACCTTGGATTGATGTTGGGTAGTTGTGTGGTTATTTAGAGGTCAGATAAATTAAAAAAAAAAAAAAAGACTCACAGAAGAATTGAACTTCTCTTCACCTTATTAATGAAATTTACCTTGGAAAGCAGCAAGAGACCAGAGTTTTAATCAGAAAACTTATGGGTCCCCAGGTTGTAAAATGAGGATGTCTACGCCTTCTTCACTCAACGGATGTGAAGATTAAATTGAGCTAATGTGTATAAAACTCTGGGTGCGGTGTCTTGCATAAGACAAATGCTTGATAAATGTTATGTTTCTCTTTCCTCCAATTTTGTTCTAAATTGCAATGACTTAGGCAGAAATTCAGTCCCTCTCATCATGACATAGTGTATTTCTCCCAGCTAGCATAGATTTCCATCAAGAGTGCTTAGAGTAACTTGTGTTCCTATGTTCTCACTTTCCTTAAAAACAGATCTGTGTTGATTCATCACACGGTCATTCTTTAGTTCTTATTGGTAATAGTTGGTGTTCTGGGTAGCCCTGAACTCCCTGGTAATATTTCTATTAACGAAGAGGATTTATTCTAATGAAATATTTGATGTCAGAAATTTTGTGAGCACAGGTAGAAACAATAATCAAACAGAATATGGCTTCCCTATTCATTCTTCAACCTTGCCATGGCTCACGGGCCCAGCCGCTCCACGGCATGTGGGATCTTCCCGGACCGGGACGCGAACCCGCGGTCCCCTGCATCGGCAGGCGGACTCTCAACCACTGCGCCACCAGGGAAGCCCAGCACCATCTGTTTTAGTTGGAGGAAGCCCAAGCAGTGATGAGAAGGCCCAGCTTGGGCCAGTTAGACACTGCTCAGTCACGGGAAAGATGTCACAGTGGGCACTCCATGACGGCTATGGAGAAATTCTTTATACATAAATGTACATTATTTGACATGTTGAAAATATTTTACGTTAGAATTAGAGAAGCACGTGAGTCATGGTGCAGAAAAGCTGTGTCACTCACCTGCCCAGGTTGTTCACAGGCTGTCTGGTACCTGGCCTGCTGGCACAGTTCTTTGACCCTCTCATATTTGGGCAAGTGATTGGACTGTTGGATATTCTTGTTGGATTCTTCCTTCTTACGTAGCAATTTCCTTTGACAGAAAGGGAAAAGCTTCTTCTGTGAGAAGGGATCTGAAATGACCTGCGCTGAGACCTGCCTGTTCTTTTTCCTTCCCTGTCACATGACTCCACGTTCTCCAGGCAGCAAGAAATTGGTATCAAGGGTAAAACCACAGGAACCCCACATTTCACGAGTCCTTTGCAAAAAATTACCAGCTGGGAACTATGAGGACGAGAGGTCAGGGGAGGAAGAGTCATTTCCTCCAAAATCATTCATTTCAAAACTATGGGCAGAAACGTTTAGCTTTCCAGGCTCAAAGTTCTTTTCTTGTTAAAAAGCAATGATAGAAATGCTTTTCTCCCTCTCAGTGTAAGTATGGAGGAAAACAAAGACCCTGGGCATTATAAATCAAAAGGGCAAACCCAGAAGTGACTCAGGAACAGTTACAATCTCATATATTTGTCTAGTCAAAACTAGTAAAGGCACATAAGGAAAAGAAGGAAAAGGGTGTCAGGCAGAAGATGGGAAAGAAGGTTGAGAAAGTCAATTGACTGGTCCAATTAGGAAGCGAGGTGGAGAAATGCAACTGTCAATCCAGAGCCACGTAAGGGCTGTGGTCCCATCTTTGCAATTCTGATGCAACAATCCTTACTCTGCTGGCCAGGGAAGGATGAGTCGCAAATGTTCAGTCTTATGACTAAGTTTACGAAATCTGCACGCTTAGTAAACCAAAATAAGGGGAAAAACATTCCCAGCAGGGAGAGCTGCCACTAGGACTGGTGCCCAGAAGCACCCTAGGAACCAATAATTACCCTCTTTCCACGAGGAATGTATCACGCCAAATTTTGGCCTTCTTGTTTGTTCGAAACCTGAAAGCAAAATAATAATATTTACTGTTGGCATTTGGACGTTTTTCCAAACGGATCTGTGCTAACAGTTTATTTAAAGCAACACCTCTCACTTCCCCAGACCAGGACACCAGGACTGCATCTCCATTAATACGCTATTCACAAGGGTGATCCTCAGGTGCAAAGGGTATTTTGCCTCTACTTCTGCTAGCTGCTGCCCAGCTCTGGGAGCCAATGTGCTCAGGGCTGGCTCAGAGGAAGAAAACTGACGCACCTGTTACCTGGCTTTTCCTGGTCCAGGAGTTTGAGGACAGACTTGCCGTCTATGTCAGGAGGTGCGTCGAGCCCAGCAATGTCCAGGATGGTAGGGGCCAGGTCAATGTTTAGAACAATCTGTGGGACTCTGCAAAGGGACAGATGGTCACGCCCCAGACCCAGCACCAGTGGAGGGTGCCACCAGGGCTGTTTTCTCCATCCCAGGACTCCCTGGCCTTCACTGCTTCTCAGCCTCTCATCTGGTCCCCAAGGGACGGTGGCTGCATCTGGGAGGTGCCTGAGTGGTCAGCAACCAGGGCCAAGAGAAAGATGAACTGGCTGTCACAGGGCTGGAGAGATGCCTGCACCCCGGAACTCTGGCCACACTGACCGACAAATTGTGGCCTGATATTTGGTTTTTGTAAGCTGTGTATTTTCTTCTGAAACCCAATAGTCCACCACTCCTCTGTTGAACTAGGGCTCCGAAATCAACCTTCTGAAAAAGGACACAAGGTTTTTATACTTGAATTCAATCCATGCTTCCTAGTCTTGCAAACATAAAGCCTTGTCACTCTAGATCTGACACTTCCCCAGGGGTTTCCAATGATCTGGAGAGACAGGATAACATTCTCCAAAGAAGTCCTTCTTACTGCCATCCCCTCGTCCCCAGGATGCAGTGGAATGCAGCAGCGGACGAGACTCGTAGATGAGACTCAGAATATCTGGGATCTGGGCCCAAGGCTGCCACCTCCACGATCGGGGACTCTGAGAGAGGCACGTACCCTGTCTGTTGAGCGTCTTCATTGTGAAATCAGGGGTCCAGGCTGGATGGTCTTTAAGGATCATTCCAGCTTTTGAATTCTACTTGCACTCTTTTCTTTCACTCTTTCCAATATTGTTTCATGTACATGATCTCATTTTACACAAAACATTTTTTTAATGATTAAAAACACATTTATTTAAGTGGTTGAGTTGCCTCCATTTGAATATTGCCTATTGCTTCCATAATAATATCAGAAGTTTTTCACAGATGCTTTTTAACGGGCAGCACCTGCTATATCTCTACTAACAGTTACACAAAACATTTTGATCGGTAGGGCAAATGAAACCCATTTTACGATGGGAATATCTAGATACAGAGGGATGCAGAGACTTGCTTAAGGTGACAGAAATGGAATTCCAGTCCTTCAGGCTTCTTTTCTTAAAATTTATTTAAATTTATTTAAACTTTATTTAAAGTTCTTAAAATTTAATTTTCTTTAAAAAATTCTTTAGTAATAATTAAAAAATAAAAAACAAGGGCTTCCCTGGTGGCGCAGTGGTTTAGAGTCCGCCTGCCGATGTAGGGGACGCGGGTTCGTGCCCCGGTCCGGGAAGATCCCTACATGCCGCGGAGCGGCTGGGCCCGTGAGCCATGGCCGCTGAGCCTGCGCGTCCGGAGCCTGTGCTCCGCAACGGGAGAGGCCACAGCAGTGAGAGGCCCGCGTACCGCAAAAAAAAAAAACAACAACAAAACAAGAGGAAGGACTGGTTATTTTTAAAAAAAGTTTCAAAGAAGGTAAGGATAATGTTCCTAAAAATCACATTCTGTGTCTGTGCACACAGCCTCATGCATTCTGGTAAATTTGAGAGAATGAATCACTGATACAGTTATTTTTCCCTTCTCTTGAAAGAGTATACTTTAGTTAATTTAACATGTGGCAGAAGTGGGGGAGGGGTGGAGCAGGGAGGAGGTTTTTGTCTTCTGAATTACCAACCTACATGCACCCTTTTTGTTTGGATGAAAGGAAACCAGAGCCTGAGATTGGTAATTGAATTATCTCAGACGTACACGAGCTATGACAGCTGAATGTTGGAAACAGAGAAATACGTACATCGATCCTGGTTCTACACTTGGACCACGAATAAAGAAAGGCACACGGATATCAAAGTCATATGGCATGGATTTCCCCTTGACCAGTCCAAACTGCCCGATATGGTAACCGTGGTCGGCAGTGTAGATGATGTAAGTGTTCTCCAGCTCCCCCGTTTCCACAAGCATATTATACAGCTGAAACACAGCACAGACACCAGTCAGAAGCAATTGTGATGGCGTAAGATGACAACAGTGCTGCCATGATTTCACCCAAACCTTTTTCCCACTATTTTTAGAAGGCAAGAGTTGCTTTAATAAGGCCAACAAACATGTACATTACCCACATTTTCCAGTTGCCTGCAATCCTGGAGGGAAAAAGTCTAATAACACAGTGGATTTTGTGTAATATGTAACTTTTGTGAGTCTGGTACGTTTTATTTAAAGGTTTTGTTTGCCTATTTGGAAAAAAAACCCCCACAAAACAACCTCCACCACCAAACTTTAAGGTTTTACTTTGAAAAATCCATTTAAAAGCAAATTTGACTATCATCACTCATATCTAGTTATCAAGGGTTAAAAACAGGCTATTTCTGAGCCTGATCCAGCTAGATCCAGCCTTCAGGCATGTCTTGTTTGGCTTATGTTTTAAAATTCAGGAAATTTCAAAGAAAATATTTGTATTTCTGGCTTCTTTTAGAAGTCAGAGGACTTGATACTGGATCCACATTCTTACACAACAGAAATTAGTTGAAGTTGAGTAGTTGCTCCTTGTTTTAGATAGGGGCATTTAGTTTCAAGTTCACCACAAGCCCCACCATTCCCTATTGCCTTATACTGGATCTGATTTAGCTACTTACATTATTTGCTTAATTCCTGAAGGTACTTGCGGCTCTAGCCCTTGATCTATGATGTCTTGATTTGTATCTCCTCTCTGCTACTGGCTCCACAAGAGCCAAGCATGGAGAGGTAATAGAAAGGGGACAAGATAAGGGAGCAATGATGAATTAGCTGAATACACACACACTCTCTCTCTTAAAATGAAAAACGACAACTACAAAAACAGGATGGGCAAGAATGGGTCTACGTAAGGGGAGCTGGACCAAAACCTGTCACTGAGGCAAGTTCGTGTGCTTACCCTTTCCACAGAGTCATCCACTGACATCAAAGTCTGAAGCCGTTTGCGATGTAGAACGTTTGTGAATTCCATGTGGATGGGCAGCATGGGTCCCGTGTACTGCATTATCCAGTGTTTGTCCATATTTGGTGCATAATTATAACTAGGAGTTCTGCAAATATCCAGAAAGGAGTCTTACTATATACGCTTTTTAGCCATTTAGAGACATATCTCAAGTTAAAGGCTGTGAAATAACAATAACAATTTAGGAAAGATAATTTAGACACTGCTAAAGGATTTTTTTCTCCCATACATCTCTCTGTGTTTATATAGAGATCTGAAGTCCGCACCACCCCAAACAGCACAAGCCCTCTGAAAACCTATATGGATTCAAACTTAGAAGACCAAGACTGGCAGCTAAAAATCTAATTAGTGCAAGTTCCTTTGGGTCCTTTGACTAAAATGTGTAAAAACACGTCAACATGATTGTGGTCATGTTACAAATCTACAGATAAAACTCAGTAATGTAGAAGAGAATGTTCTCATGGTGATATTAACTCGAAAAATTGTATTGCTAATTAGGCTATGAAATATAGTCACTAATACATTATGTGCAATGATGAGGAATCAAAATTTCAATACATTTTCTTCTCTTGAATTTACTAGGGTATTTTATGGATTACCTACATATCTAGTCTCTATGAATTTTTCTCATTCCTAACCTTGTATATAGATACCATTAATTAATTAATTTTTATTTATTATTATTATTTTTTGTGTGGTACGCGGGCCTCTCACTGTTGTGGCCTCTCCCGTTGCAGAGCACAGGCTCTGGACGCGCAGGCTCAGCGGCCATGGCTCACAGGCCTAGGCACTCCGCGGCACGTGGGATCTTCCCGGACCGGGGCACGAACCCGCGTCCCCTGCATCGGCAGGTGGACTCTCAACCACTGCGCCACCAGGGAAGCCCAAGATACCATTAATTTAATTGGATTTTCTGGAATTATAACCAAGTCTACGGCAATTGACATGCTTACCAATAGAGCTATTCATTATAGACAAATCAATATAGATGCAGGGCATAATTTTTTGTTAACTATAGGGAAGTGGGTTCTGTTGTTCTAGGACAGGTGGTTCAAGCCTATATTTAATCTATTGCAGAGATCCAAGAGGTGTCCATACTTTCCTCTGGGGCCGCACAAAGCACGTCACCTTCTCTTTGAAGTATTCCCCAGCTCCCTGGACCATTAGATGCTGCTACCTCACACTCCCAAAGAACATATCTATGCTAGAACAATTCTCACAGTGAGAAATGTTTGTTTTTCATTTGACCTCTCCGCCACACTATAATGTACTTGAACCTTTTCCTTAGCTGATAAGCATATAAGCGTTGTTTAATATTAAACATTAAATAAATATTTCATGTTTTATTAAACATTTAATAAATGTTTTATTAAACATTTAATAAATATTAAAAACTTAGCGAGTATTTACCACGTGTCAGGTATCGTGCTAAGTGTTTTATTCACATCAATTCATTTAATTAGCTCAGTTCTTCTGGGATATAGGTTTATCATTCCTACTTTACAGCCGAGAAAACTAAGGCTTAGCAAAGATAAATAACTTTCTCAGGTTAATAAAATTAGCGGGTAATAGAACGAGGACTTGGTTCCAAAGCCCATTCACTTTAAAAAAATGAAAAGAAAGTAGAAGGAGGGGAGTTTCCTGCATCTGAGATTGCTCTTCATATGAACCACAACTGTGCAAAGAGCCCGTCTCACAGAATAAGCAACAGTCTATGTTGATCGAGAAATTTCATTACCAGTCTCTGTTCTGGGGAGGATCCTATCAGTGAAAGATGGTGGATAATGACGACTGAAGGTGACCCTGTGGCATCATTTATTATAAAACTAGGGAAACAATCAGTCGCTGTGAGCCTGGTGAGTCCAGGAGCCTCGACCGTGTTCCAGTGGTTCCGTCATGGAGGGAATTTCGCATGGGGGAACTTGGAGTTTCTGAGATGCATGAGTGTACACAGGGGTGTTTCCATGAACACAGGGCTCTATAAATGCCACCTGTGACTATACATTTTCTTCTGCCAGTGGATTTGCAGCACCTCTCTTTTAATATTTGAAAATGCTGTTTTGGTACCATTGGTCTTCCTGGTGTAAAAAGTTACCCTGATGATCTGTAAGGATGCGGGTTAACCAGCAGAAATGCCACAGCTCAAATGCCAATATAACACAGAGCACAGAAGACACTGTCACTAGAAGTGTACAAGTTACACTCAGAAGTGTAAGTTAACTCCCCTTTAAGGAGACAGATTTGTAGGGTGGGAAAAGCACCTGCAGCTCGATTTGCTCATCTGTAAATGGGGATAAGAGCATCTCTAATAAAAAGTTGTTTTGAGGAACAACGAATCTGTCTGTCTATCTATCTATTATCTATCTATATCTGTCTGTCTATTATCTATCTATATCTATCTGTCATCTATCTCTATCCCCTCTATCTATATTTATCTCTCTATCTCTATCTATCTATCACTTTAAAGTGCCCAGAACAGAAGACGTACCTGAGTTTCCTACATGAGCCAATAAAAAAATGTATTCTATAAAAGGATATGGGTTGAAAAAAATCTCATGGCATTAAAAAACAAACTTTCAGATATCACTTGCCATTCTCTGTAAGAGAAACTTTCAACATTAACTTTCGTCTCCTTACCAAGTAGACACGTCATGAACCAAATGGTCCCACTTTTGGCCTGAAAGCGTTCTTCATATCTAAAATTGCACCACGGGCCAAATCTGACTCTTGTATCTCAGGGGCCTGGGCAGTAGGAAGGGACTTAAGCCCATGTTTCTTATTCTTCACACAGCGTGTCGCCTTACAAACAGGATTAGATTAAGAGACAGAAGAGGAGGTGGAGAGAGGGGCCATCTAAATCCTGGCGGAAAGAGATTTTCACCCATGGGGGTAGTTTGAGGTCAGAGAAATAGAGCAAGTTGGTCACAAAAGGTCCCTCACCACTTACTGATACGTGCCCTGAAAAACAATACGGCTATAAAAGATTACATGGGGTTTCTTCATAATACCTCACCCTCTCCTCTTACTGCCTTTGATGTTGGTTTGCCTTAATTTTAAAATAAATCTAGTCGATTTTTTTTAAACCACAAAAACTCAACACAATTAAAAATTACAATAGGGAACCGAAAGGCAGGCTTACAGTGGGCTAGTCATGTCCTCCACCGTGTACCTTCAAGTGCTTGGCAGGGTTCCATCCACCTCGCTTTGAGGAACAGGGAAGGTTGCAGCAAATTGGACTCCCGGATTTACAGAATGACATATGTTCAATCTGGCTTATATTAAAAGGGAGAGTTCAGGTCCGCTGTCAAAGCTGTCCTTCCCCCATCCCCTGTTTTTCTTAATTTCTGGATGTGGGAGATGACCCCCCCCACACACACACACCTGCTATGGGGATGAGATCCCAGGTGGGATCTCAGCAGGGGGGGAGGGGGGATAAGCATTTGCCTTTTAAAGGAAGACAGGCTGCCACTGCTTCCCACAGAACAGCAGCTGTCCAGGGACCTGCAGGTGGAAGGTTGGGGGTCGCTGGAACTGACAGTGTTGTTGAAAAGTGATCTTTTGCCAAAGACCTGTGGTTGCCTCCTGCTGGGGTTTGCCAAATTCCTGGAAGATGCAGCCTTCTGTCCCCCAGGGATAATGAAGGCTTGCCGTCCTAAGAATTGACTTACAATTATTCAGACAGAGCCTGGAGCTGTTGGCTGGCCCACGAGCCACAGAGAAGCAAGTAACTGTTTTAGGGAACAGTGGAAAACCACATATCCAATTGTTCCAGAATGTTTTGGAATCAGACCTGAATTCTCATCCCAGTCCTGTTATTTACTAGTGTGTGATCTAGAGCAACTTGTTTCTCTAGGCCTCTGTTTCCTCATCTCTATAACGGGAGCAAGGATTTCAAAGAGTTCTCGTGAGGCTTCAAAGAGGTGTCAGTGACTCCAGAGGACAAATGCTGTGACCACATCACACCCACACTTACAGGTAGCTGGGAGAGAGCTTATCACATCACAGCTCACCTGCTTGCTGTAGCAGCCCGGAGAAGGCAGGGCATCTTACTCCCACTTTACAAATGACATAGTAAAGTGTATGGAGGTGGTCCTGAAAGAACGTGCTGGGACCCCTGCTCCCTCCAAGATGTCACACTGAACTGCCGTCCCCAACAAGCACCTCAAAATCCCCATCATTAAAAGCACAGATCCAGGGCTTCCCTGGTGGCGCAGTGGTTGAGAGTCCGCCTGCCGATGCAGGGGACATGGGTTTGTGCCCCGGTCCGGGAAGATCCCACATGCCGCGGAGCAGCTAGGCCCGTGAGCCATGGCCACTGAGCCTGCGCATCCGGAGCCCGTGCTCCGCAATGGGAGAGGCCACAACAGTGAGAGGCCCGCATACCGCAAAAAAAAAAAAAAGCACTGATCCATACATTTCTTTCTATAAAAAGTTAAGTCCTGAAATCATTAGCCTTCATCCTGATTTAAAATATTAGCTGCGGGCTTCCCTGGTGGCGCAGTGGTTAAGAATCCGCCTGCCAATGCAGGGGACACGGGTTCGAGTGCTGGTCCGAGAAGATCCCACGTGCCACGGAGCAACTAAGCCCGTGCACCACGACTACTGAGCCTGTGCTCTAGCGCCCGCGAGCTACAACTACTGAGCCCGTGTGCTACAACTACTGAAGCCCACACGCCTAGAGCCCGTGCTCCACAACAAGAGAAGCCACCACGATGAGTAACCCGCGCACCGCAACAAAGAGTAGGCCCCGCTGGCCGCAACTAGAGAAAGCCCACGGGCAGCAATGAAGACTCAACGCAGACAAAAATAAATAAATAAAAAATAAATAAAATAAAAAATAAATAAAATAAAATATTAGCTGCTTCTGTTTCCCATTCAGACGCCTCCCACCAGCTGCTATGTGTCTATGTTTGTTGCAAATACAGAATCAAGTCTGATCCTCCAGGGCACACTGGAGGCATCCTCCAGAAGGTAGATAACACTGGCTGTTTGCTTGAAAATGGAGAGGACAAAGGACCAACTTGTCGTTTTTGAGTTTCTGTTGCTTTCTTTTAAAAAACCCTCAAAAAACGAAAATCTGTCAGAGTT